AGTAGCATGCTGGGATGAAGGGCTACCAAGTTTGTTCAAATTAATGACCTTGACCAACTTTCAAGGGCACAGGTGTCAAATGTCTTAAAATCTTCTTCTCAATAACCAAAAGGCCCAGGGTACTGATATTTGGCCTGTAGCAATCAGGGCTACCAAATTTGTTCAAATGAATGACCTTGACCCACTTTCAACCTAATGTCATTGTTTGACATTCAAGGTCACACTGATATTCTGCCTGTAGCTGTATTTTATCCCACTTTTAAGATTACAAGTGTGAGATTAATACCAGGTGAGCGATGCACGCCCATTGGGCCTCTTGTTCATTCTCCATTATATAAATTTTAATTTCTTTTCAGGATCACATAGGCTCTCTTAATTGGGGATATAGGGTTCAACTTCGTGATAAAAAAGTTGACTACCAGAATGCATATGCAGAGTTTATTGATGACCACACAGTCAAGGTAAGTTTGGTGGGAGATTTTAAACTTTCCATTCATGGAAAATTTGTCAAAAGAATAATGTAGTAGCATATGTCTGCTTGAGATATAGAGCACCATCTATTGGTTTATGTTGTAATATTACAAATCTTTTTATGAATTATTTTCACCATTTGATTTAAAGTTTAAGTCGAAGAACATTTCATTTTTCAGGCTGTCAATAAGAAGGGCAAGGAGGTGACAAAGACAGCGAGAGATTTTATCGTAGCTGTGGGGGAAAGACCACGCTACCCTGATATACCAGGGGCCAAGGAATACGGCATCACTAGGTATGTACTCTGATTTACAGTAAAACACCAAGCTACCCTGATATACCAGGGGCCAAGGAATACGGCATCACTAGGTATGTACTCTGATTTAAAAAACTAAATCACATTCGTGGCATTTCTGGAGAAATGAAAAAAATGGATGGGGAGGGCTGGGCTTTTACCGCCACCCACCCTTCTTCAAAGGATATTGCCAAAGTGTTGAGAAGGCTTATTTGCAAGTGTGCGTTTACTTGCAGTTAAATAAGGTATATCTTTAAAATGTTTTATTTATTAGGAATGTCAAATTTTGTTGAAAGTTCAGGAAACTATTTCAGATTTGAGGATTGAATTCAGGATTCACTATTAAAATTTCAGAACAGAGAACATATAAGAATGACCAGAAAATAACGAGGAAGTGTACAATTACTTCCCCTTTCTCCTGACAAGTGCAGTGACTACCTCCACTTACCTGTTGCTAACTTGTTTGTTCCAGTGATGACCTGTTTTCCTTGCCATACTGCCCTGGTAAAACTCTGCTGATTGGAGCATCCTACGTGTCGCTCGAATGTGGAGGCTTCCTCCACGGAATCGGACTGAATGTCACGGTGATGGTGCGGTCTATTCTGCTGCGAGGGTTCGATCAACAGATGGCCGACAAGATCGGGGAATACATGGAAGCTAAGGGCATCAACTTTATCAGGCAATGTGTCCCGACCAAGGTTTGTCTGCCGTTCTCTATTTACTACAGTGATTGGCCATACGTAAATACTTTGTTCTCAGGCCTGAGAGCCCACAAAAATTGCATATGAGCATTTCTTTATTGTAAAATCAAGACCATGAAATCTATAAGTTAAAAACAATCCAGAAATGAGTTTGCCATCTGATTTCATAAAGTCTAATGTACTCTACAAAATGTGTAAATAAGCTAGACTATGAAATCATATTAGAAGCCTTGTGGACAATGTTTTAAATATGTTAGGAAGTTGTTGAAAATTTACATCAGAACATCAGCACAAACATTCACATCACAAACTTTCAAAAAATATCTTCAAAAGTCATTTCCCTCCTGAATGTCACGTTCTAGAACATGTAAAACAATCTTACCTCGTGATTCAGGTACCTAACTGTAAAGTGAGAATAAATGAGATACATTTTGTACTAGCTCTCACCTGTTTTGAAGAGGAATACTCTGATATTCGAATTGTCAAATGTAAGGGTCTAAAAGACTTGTTTTTGTTTGATGTGCATTGTAATGTGAAATGTTTCCCTTGGTTATGTGAAATGTTTCCCATGGTAATGTGAAATGTTTCCCATGGTAATGTGAAATGTTTCCCATGTTTATGTGAAATGCTTGCCCTGGTAATGTGAAATGTTTCCCATGGTTATGTGAAATGTTTCCCGTGGTAATGTGAAATGTTTCCTGTGGTAATGTGAAATGTTTGCCGGATCCTCAATGGTCGAACATTGTACTAATGCTGTAATCCTCTTGCCTGTTCTATTGTCCAACTTTCCCTCTCTTCAGATAGAGAAACTGGAGGACGGCCAGCCCGGGAAGTACAAGGTGTACGGAAAATACAGTGACGGGACTGAGTATAGCGACACTTTCAACACTGTAGGTGGAGGATAGCTGCATTTCTCTTCAACCAATAATGTGAACAAAATGATATTATGTATTAAATGATATAAAAAAGCTACCATCACTTTCGATGATCGTGTTCCAAATGGTTTGACTATTTGGACTGCAGTTCATTTATAATATAGGGATGAACCTAGTGGTTTAATTTTTAGGAGAGTCTCCGATAACACTGTTTCGTCTTCTTGCATTAATTTTCATAGATTCTCCAGGCTTTATCCAATAAAATTTTGTATTTAAAATAAATGAACAGTCTTAATAAATGCCACATTAAAAATGGTTCTCGTTCTATATTACCTGAATGTCAAATGAAATGACAAAGATAAATGACAACTTTTCTTGAATGTTGCTAGTGATTTATCTTTTAAATGTTTACTTACAAAGATGCTGGTACCTATTTCAATTTCTGATTAAACTAGAGCAAAATTAATCTGGTAAAGTGACTTGAGGTAAACAACTCGTGGTACCCTTGTCTGTAATTGTGTAAACTTACAAGCAGGAAAAATTCATTCAATTGTTTTATATTTTGTCCCTTCTACATCGTTATTCTTGTTTTGTAGGTGATATTTGCCATTGGCAGAGATCCTGTCACAAAAACTATAGGACTGGACAAAGTGGGTGTCAAGCTCAACAAGTGAGTACTTGCTTGAAAAAATGTATTTAAAGAGCAAGATTAATCATTCAAATTACACATTACCTGTCTTGTTCATATTAAAAGTTATAGAGTTATTGATGAAGAGGTTGTTAAGGCTTTATAGAGGTACTACTATATAATTTGTGGACAGAAAATTTCAAAATTATAGTTTATCACAAATGCATTGTATATCATGTGATGTTTTATTTGTTGACAGAAACAGTAAAGTTATTGCACACAAAAGAATGTTGTTTTGTCTTGATAATGTTATTTTTGTTAACAGAAGCGGTAAAGTTATTGTAGACAGGACTGTTGTCTCGTCTTGATAATGTTATTTTTGTTAACAGAAGTGGTAAAGTTGTTGCCAACGAAAGTGAGGCCACCAACGTGTCCAACATCTATGCAATCGGTGACATACTCGAGGGCAAGCTGGAGCTCACACCAGTAGCCATACAGGCAGGCAAGCTGCTCGCCCGCCGACTTTATGACAATAGCAAAGTGCTGGTATGTACTCATTAACTTATTCTTACTGCACTTAAACATGTGTTCAGAGGCTAGCTATCAGTGATCCAGGGAGTTCCCGTTTGAGAATGTAAAGTTTTCTTCTTTTTAAAGAAAATGTTTGGGATGGGGAATGAAACGAGTTACGTCCTTTTGAATCTGCCACTTGTGACTACAAATGAGAGTAATTGTGCTTACTCATTTCCGATTGTCTTGTGGTCACTACCAGAAAATATTTTATGAATTTATATTGTTATATATTTCCTCGTCACACACGCACATCATTAGAATCACGCTGGTGAAGTGTTTAATGTTTTCTACCTACAGACGGACTATGTCAACGTAGCTACAACAGTCTTCACACCTCTAGAGTATGGCGCCATTGGATACTCAGAAGAGGCTGCAATAGAGAAGTTTGGCGAAGATAACGTAGAGGTAAGATCATTGAATTAGCCTCATGTGGTCATTATTTAATCCAAAAGGAAACTTCTTTCTATCAGATGCAAACAGCAAATTGATGTGCTATTGAAAGTTTACATGGGGCCTGTTCGTTTATGCGGAACAACCGGTTTGTCTGTTAAATTTTAAATGTGACAATTTTGGGTATAAATCCTGGCTGATCTGCAAATGTTTATGCAGGCCTTGCAAGGCTTTGCCAAGGCTCGCCTGAAAGCAGCATCAGATTACTAGGTCCGACATTATTTAATAAACGAATAACTGTGGTCCGACCGGTTGAACGGTTTAAACGAAAACGACCCTGTAGCATAAAAAGATTATTTATATGATATACATTCATGTATATAAATATCTTAAGTAACAAACTAGTACAAAAAGTGCAAAATGTATGAAATTAATACCATGTCATTGATTTGCCTCTACTTTATTGACAGGTATACCACACTAACTATTGGCCATTGGAGTGGACAGTGGCCAAGAGGGAAGAAAATGTTTGCTACGCTAAAATTATCTGTCACATTCCAGACAAGGTGGGTTATCTGCCCCTCGTTTATAGCTCTAATACATTTTCACTGCCTACAATTGATATGGCTGGCCCTTTCTGACTCCGAAATTAACATCTACTTTCATGTGCTTTTCCTTAGCTTTATCTTGTTATCTTGTTACATTCATAGTTTTCACTGCACACATTTTCTCATATTTTAGTCAAACTATAATTTCAAACTTGTTAGGGATATTGGATATTTTAATCAGGTTTCTTTGTAATTTTCTGGACTGTTTGACACAGTAAAAAATTTAAATGGTGATATCTTTATAATCTTTAAAGATGAAAATAAAATGGACAGCTCTGGGATTGGAAAGTGATACTTTTAGATAATGTACACAAAAATACTTTAATTTTTATGCACATTTTGAAGAAAATGTGGTTTGAAAATTTTATTTAAAATATCATTAAGACAATGACATAAGATTGAATATAACTTCATGGTGAATGTGTTTGAAGGAACGAGTGGTGGGGTTCCATATATGTGGACCAAATGCAGGGGAGATAACTCAGGGCTACGCACTGGGAATGAAACTCGGTGCGACAAAGAAAGACTTTGATGACACTATCGGGATACATCCCACCTGTTCAGAAGTAAGTGAATCGTATACATTATATGTTAAACTCTTATGAAGTAATTTATATGTTTAACCCTTTAACAACTGTAGACCATAATGGACTCGTCCATATCAATACATGGTAGGGTCTACTCAAGTTACATAGTTTACACAGGACCACTTGATGGGAAATAAGAAAATGGTGGGTGTGCTCAGTATAATAGTTATAGAATAGGGGAAGAAATGGGGACAATCTTCACATCCCAAATATTGCAGTTTGGGATGGTTCACTTTTGTCCCCCTGGTGTCTCTTTCACAAATCTGAAAAGAAAGTAATTTTCATATTTTTTAAATGGCTTCAGTTACATTGAAAAAAAGTTCACTTTTATTCATTGACACAGCTATTCCAATCCACCTAACGTTGTTTTCAATGATTTATTATATAATTATATACAGTTGTATATGTCAAATTATTATATTATGTATGTGATGAAGATGTATCTAAAAAGACATTTTTTAGTTTGAATACATTTTGATTTGATTTTTAAATATTTTGTTTAAACTTTTCAGCAATTTACGACCTTAAATGTGACGAAGAGGAGTGGGAAGATGGTGAACCAATCTGGTTGCTGAGGTTAGACCCTGCTGCTGTCCACCTAGACATTAGACCCAGAACATCTCCGTAAACTCACGTCAAACTTTGATTCCATTGGAGAGAGCTGCCCTCTACCTGTTTATACTTTTGAGGGTTACAAAAACATGCATTAATTAAGGAGAAAATGTGTTTATACAAAACAGTTACTCAAATGAATTCGAATCTTGTGCCATTTCTGAACAGGTATCATGACTTTTTGTTAAGATTCCTGTAATACTTTTATTAGGTGTCGCCAGAAACAACATATGGATAAGAATTTTATCACAATTGTTATCAAGTTTGATGGACAAGTCATATTTTCAGTCATAAAGTGCAAACCAATCACAAGCAAAGACATTAGAAGGTAGATGTCTGCTTAAAGCTATCCTCTGGATTTTGAAGAAATGACGTTTTGTTGATTATTTTGATATGACTTGGATATTTATGTTTTGCTGAGTTCTGTGGACCATTTTGACGTGACTGAGATATTTGGGTCGTGTTTAGACAGCAGCGGGGTTTTGTCTGGAGCAGTACTGTCCTGTAGTGTACTTGTGTGGTACATGGATGACGGACAAGTCCACAATCCCGACTCGGGACGGACTTGACCTGAAAATACTGGTCAGTGCAGCTCAAACCATTTGTACTAGAGATTCATTGACCGTCATGATCATGGCCTGGTTTAATGACCGCTATGAAAGAAATTAGCTACCAATTTTTTACTATTGAAAAAATTTCTTATTTTTGAATATTATTGTATAAACTGACAAGGGAAATTTGTATGAGAAGAATACATGAATTTAAAAATTATTAGAAATTGATGTGAACATTTTTAGTTTAGTCATATTAATTTTCTTACTCCTTCATTTTGCCTTGATGATGAAGTCAGCATTATACTACTTGTACATTAAGTTTTGTTTAAGTTTTCATTTTCATTTTTTTACAACCTATAAGATTTGTTTCATCAATTTATCCTATTGGACTTGAAAATGTTCTGTTTGTTCAATGACTAGAACTGTTTCTTGAATTTATTGAACTATAAATTTGTGTGCTTTCTGTATTATGAACATATTTTGTCACATCATAAAGGGGTTCAGGTTAATACTAGGTTTTTATGCAGAAGATTTCAAACAGCTTCCTTTTTTATAGGATTTTTTTTAATAAAGTTTCAGCAGGGTGATTCGGGTAATTTTTCCATAATTTGAATAGCCATCATTTACATTGCTATTTTAATGTAGCTATTACAACAGGCTTATAAATTGATTGTATAAATAAAGTACAAAATAAAAAGCATCCTGTAGTGTTGAGATTTTAAAGCCTTTCAAAATACAATAAAATTGTTAGTACATTGTAATATCGTACTGTTATGTCTAAATATGTTTTTGATGCATTCCAACAAGAAACACATTTCAGTAATGTTATCGTAGATCAGTGGGAACAATCTTTAAAATGAAGTACATGTATACACGTTTGTAGATATTGCTTTGAAGTGCTATTTTATCAATTAAGTGCAAGTATTTAATTATTTTCTACAAATTATAAAAAGAAAATCACTAATGCCTAATTATGTAATATGTGGGAAACATCAATAACCTTTTTGTACTTTCTTTTTTAACCCATTCACCCCTGAAGACACATTTGAACCCTTCCAATTCAAAGGTTGGAATAGTTCATTTTGAAATTTCTGGGGTGAATGAGTTTAATATAAAATATGTAATTTTGAAGAAAATAATGAAAATCCTAATGTGTTGGGATTGATGGAATACCTGTCGGTGTCATTGACAGTAATCCCACCTTAATTATCCTACAGTATCCTTTTGTACCTATTTTGGCTTTTCCGTTTTACCACACCGTTGGTTGTGAATATACTGTACCTGCATTGTTTTCACTAAGTTAATAAAAACTTTGTAATACATCATGTGCAGATTCTTTCTTTTCTGTTGATTATCAAACAAGGCACACAGAGGAAATTACCATTTAGTTAAATGAAGGACTTCTATATTCTTAGAAACAGTGTTCTATCTTGGTCATGTTACCAAGTGATAACTGAGTAATCTGAGTTTAGGTTAAGTATATTATATAACTGGATTTATCACCTAATAATATAACCTGACCAAAATATTAAAAATAAACCTCCTTAAATATACAGTTTATCTACTGGTAACAGTTGATGATATACACGCATAAATATACAGTTTATCTACTAGTAGTAATATATGATAAACACAAGTAAATATTTATAATACACCATTTTATCTGTGAATGGTTCATAAAGTAACAGCCCGATTTGTATACGCCTTGATGAACTTGTCTCGCATCTACTGTTGATGATGTCACATCCTAGTATCTCATTCGCATAAAATTTGCTGAACTCTGCCCAAAATTTGCTAACCTCCACCCACTTGTATTATTGTTGCCGTTACAAAACATCAGAAGACTATTGAGTGAATGTTGGTGTAGACTGTAAATATATAGTGATATAGTGCGCTACTTGTATATGTTGAAAACAAAAACTAGTCGCACAAGATAATTAATAGAAGCAACTGAGTAATCTCAACTGGGGAAATATATTTTATAATGAACCAGAATGAAAAAGACATTGTTGTTGGTCAAAGTTGAAAGGTGATAAGTCAGGTTTAAGGTGATAAATCCAGTTATAAAATTTACTTGTCTTCAACTTGTTATTTGAAAATGTCATCCAAAAATGATTTTTTTTCTTGATTATATCTTCAGCATACTTCGGGTTATCAAACTTGAAAGGCCCCTTTATATTTGAGGTAGCGCTATAAAGTCAGCATCAGGTCTGCGCTATCACGAGAAGACGAACAGAACATATTGCAGCCTCCCAAAACACACTCATGCATCTTGCACACAGGGGAGGCCGTCCTTAAATGACCATAGCTGTTAATAGGACTTAAACAGTACTAAACCAAACCATTCATTTCTGACAGACAATTTCTAGTTTTTGTGTCGCCTGCGAAAAGCTGGTGACACATAGGTATTGCTATGTCGGCGGCGTCGTACGCGTCCGCACAGAGGTTTCGTGCGATGACTTGAGTTTCTTTGGGCTGATCAAACTCAAACTTCATGCAGTGCTAAGCATACTTGCATTTTCAAGATTTTTTTTATGGATACCATTGTATCTTTTTCTTCGTAATCTCCCAGCTTCCTGCGCAGGCGTCACATCCACTTCCGGGGAATTCTTGCATTTGATGTTTGTCCTACAAGCAGCTTTGAGTTTGTATTGATTCATTTTTCTTCAAACTTTCAACCAAGAAGATTTACCCTTCAGTGCCTAATGATTGAATGAAGATATTGCTACCAGACCTACATATTTTACTGTAAAATATAATATTTTTTTAGGATTTCAAAGACCATTCAACAAAGTATTTTCAAATTTGGAAACGTTAAGCTCTTTACCTTCATCTTTACCTACAACTTTGACCAGCAACGACGTTTAAATACGAAGCAGAAATTAGAGCCAGATAATTTCAATTTTTCTATCGTGAATTTCCCTTTCTTGACAGTAACATGCTTGGTTCTCCATTCTATGGTAATTACATTCAGCATTTTTCTTTTTTTCTTTAAATATCTTTCTCTAAATATCAATGATATATGCATACTGCTGACGGACGAACCAACAACACAAGATTTCGAGAGATGCCAGTAGATAACTATGGGCAAGTTTTGTGTTCGCCATTTTGATCTCATTTAAAAACATTCTATTTTACTGTTGTATATTGCATCAGTATCTTGGAGTATCACTTCCTTGTTCGGATCAAAATATGCAAGAACTGGACATGCAGTTATTATGTCTTTGACCCGGCAGAAAGCGTCAGCTTGGGGTTTGTCCCAGTGGAATTCTATGTTTTGTGTAAGAAGTACGCGTAGTGGGCTNACGTATCCGTATTGTTGCTAAACCTCTTATTATCATGTCAATTTTGAAATAACACGTGTTGTCGGAGAACACCGTTAAAAATGCCTCTTAGTCTTCCCCATCAATAAATTCTACGCCTAATAGTGCACAAGTTCCGGGAATGAGGCAGCTGAGCGTAGCAAACACACATATATATTGTATCTTTACAGTAATTAATTAATACAGTATGCCAAAAAAAAAATTGCCAAAAAGTTTGAAATCCTAATTGTTCTAAACTACTGTAAGTGGAGGTGTATCAAATCTCTAAATAACACGAATTAAAAATTAAAGGAGAACTAATTAATTTCAAATTGATAATGAACAAAGCGTGTTTACTTTTAACCATGCCACACGGTAGTCTAGTGGTAGGACGCCGGGCTCGTGACCGAAGGGTTTGCGGGTTCCAGTCACGGCACGGCACTGTGTTGTGTCTTTGAGCAAGATACTTTACTCCGCTTGTTCCAGTCTACTCAGCTGTAAATGAGTATGTGGTTGGGAAGTGCTAGATCTGTTGAATGATAGCTGTTAGCCCCGAAATGGCAGCCCCGGCTGTATGCTCCCCAAACTAGTTTGTGATAAAGCGGTATATAAAAACCTCGAATTATTTTATTATTATTACTCAAATAGATAATCCTGGCATTCCGTTACGGCAAACCAAGGGGACTAAAAATCCACTAGCAAAGTCTACCACCCTTTCTCTTGAAATATGAACGTGACACACACGTAGATTGTACTTAAAAATGATACATTAGTCTTAATGACTACTGGTGTCAGCGGAGGGGAAGTCTTACGACCTGACATGCAAATCCCTCACTGTCTCTGGAAAGAATGACTTTTTTATGCCCACAACAAATTGGTGCGGAGCTTATAGTGTTACCCTTGTCTGTACGTCTTTACGTCCGGTTGGTTAAGGTTTTTCGCTTAGGTCCGTTTTGAACTAAATATACTGCTGGTAGACCATACAACTCCACATATGCTTATGTGCCTTTATGAGAACTACACATTGTAGGACATTTTTGTAACTTGGCCTTTGCCTCTGTGACCTCGGTTAAGTTTTTACGTCACTGTCAGTAATGGACACACATGACCCCCAATGTGGACTTAGTTTTTGGTTCATAACATAGACATGATTGAGATCGCACAAGAGTCACAACACCCTTGTCGACAAAAGGCTTTCTGGAAGAAAAATAGAGTGAACATTGACCTTAGTTCCTGGGCCAGTTTAGTGATCGCCATCGTGATTCCATAGGGAAATACTCTAATTCTGCGTGTGATATGAGGGTCAATGGCCTTTATTAGGCTCGTTATGTGCATTGTTTCATTGTCACTGTCTAATTTTTTTTGCCATGAGGATGTGACATTTCTTGGATTTGACCTATACATTAACATTGCGGATGTTGTCGATGAAGCAAACTGCGCTTACCAATCTTGAACACTTGGACTTACTCTTGTACTTTTTCAATGGCATACTTTATCTTAGTTTTACCGGTTCTGAGTAGTCCTTTAACAGTTTTCTTGACACTGAGGTATAACCAAAATCTAAAGACTGTATGTTTGTCAAATATCTGTAGTAATAGCATACTAACACTGTTCATATTGTGTCATGTTTGGTTTTTGGAAAAATAAATAAGTAAATAAACAAATAAGATATATTAAATTCATTATACAATTCTTATATGTATGCAAATGCTGTTTTGTTTTCATGAAAACTGTATATTTTAACAAGTTTTGTTCGTACTAAAACCTGCCTTGAATGAAACAATATATTAGATTGTAATTACGTCAAGTAATGGACACATCTTTTGTCAGGTAAGTTGTACGAACCTGGATACTTTGGATATTTTTAAAAGTATTTTCTAGATGCGTCATATTTTGTTGTTTGTTTATGTATTCAATCCTCAAGCAAACACCTATGATTAAAGGTCCAGAACTCTGCTTAAAACCTTTTGCCAAACCATGGTCTTATTCAGTCTTATTCAGGTGTTTTGTTATCATTCTGCATAGCTCCAGTGTGCTCTTCTCTGGTTCCTCATTCAAGGATGCGTTTCAGTTTTTTTGTATAAGAAATATAGCTTGGTCTTTCTTCTTCTCATGCGCGTGCACATGTGTAGACTGCCTTGTCTTCCATAATCTATTTGAAGGTTTGCAGGGATCCATGCTTTCTCTTGATACTTGAAATACTGACGCAGGGGAACACGTGGAGTGTATTTTTTGTTGGTATGACTTCCCTACACAGGACACTTTATATCGGATCTCCAGCATGAACGAAATTGACATTTGGAAACCTGCATGCTGCATTGATAAAGATGTCGAGGCTCCCAATGTCCGACACATGCCTGCTTTCGTAGGCAAATATATAGATGTTGCTAGCTAATCGGATATTGACCCAGATAAGTTCACAATTACTGTGTTCCAGTTCAGTGTGCATGTCACACTTTAAAGATATCAACTACAGACCTTGCTTGAAAAAGGTTATCAACACTAAAAATGCTAAATATACGAAATTAAGAAGCACATATTTGATATCAAATGAGCCGATGAAAAAATCCCAACAAAGTTAGCATGTTTATGTACAATGTGGTCATTTCGTTCATAAAGAATCAGTGGTATTAAAGATAAAGGATTGAAAATCCTTGTCTTTAGGGTTCAGAATCATACTTAAAATACAGCGAAAAGAGGGAGGCGCAGTTAATATCATTTATACCATTACACGTTTTCAACTTCTACAGATAATTTATCATGAAAATAGTATTTCATCTAAACCGTGCCAGAATATAATTCAGCTAAAAGGTTACGGCCGACCTCGGGGTCTGATAGTCCAGCAGCAGATTTAGTCCGAATGTTACGTAAAACAATTACTAGATGTAAGAAACATGGAAGAACTAATTTAAGATTTATTCTGTCGATGCAGAAAACGTAAAACAATAACTAGGTAGATGAAATATGGAAGAACCTAATTAAAATCTTCTGTCGATGTAGAAAACGTAAAAAATATCATTTAC